AATCAAAATAAAAATCCACATTTAATTGAGCATATTGTGTTATTCTATTAAAAGAAAATGAAAGAAAATTCGTAAAAACGGTATCTTACCAATACAAAACGGCTGAACAATGGTCGTAGGAAAAAATACATTATCACAGACTAGTCTGGTATGACTTCCAGTACGTTTACACAAACCATTGTTCACACACGAAAATTCTGGTCCTTCCTTCGAAAGTCGAGGCAGTCTCCTACGACTCCTAGGATGCTAATAATAAAAAATCACATTTAATTAAGCATAACAGCGTTATTCTAGCAGTTGGAATTGGAACGCAAGTTGGGCTCCAAACTCCGCAACCATTGCTTTCGCGGCTTCTGCTTCCCACTTTCCTTGAATCTTCTTCACCGCTGCCATTAAAAACTTCCCTTCAGAGTCCCTAATAACCACTCCTAACCCTTCTCCTTCCTCACCATAGACCCTAGCATCTGTACACACCGACGTAGATATTGGAGGAGGCTTGTTCCAAATTTTACAGACCGACACATGATATTCTTCCTTTTGGAGTTGTTGGTTTTTCTTGTACTCTTCTAGCAGACATTTGGCACGGGTTGGTATCTCTTCCTCCGGTAATTTTGCTCCATTGAATAGATGAGCGTTCTTTTCCTTCCATAGAAATCAAAGCAGTACACACCACGCCTCCACTTCCTCAACCTTCCTTTGCTCCAATTCAGCTACCTCCATATTCGCCAGATGCGTGTTGCCCACTCACACTCACCAAAAGTGTGTGTTTGTGTATCTCTTTGTTCGCAGAATGGGCAACGATTTCCCCTGCGAGAATTTTGGGGATCCACCTTAACAACTTTTAGAAGGATATCACGAGTGAACCATCTCATAAACTGCCGCACCTTCGGCGGCACTTCCAGGTTCCATAGCTTCTTCCATATTGCCGGCTTTCCTAGCCCCACCACTCCATGTTGTGTCATGAATTCCCTAAGCCATAATTTATAACCCTCTTTTACTGTATATTCCCCATTTTTGCTTATGTGCCATATCAAGGTATCCACCTCCCCATTTCCACATAGTGGGATCTGTTTATTTGCTTATGCAACGTCGTGGGGAAAACAACTCTCAATGACCACATCATCCCATGTTCCCGTGTCCAGGTCCACCAACTCGCAGACGTAAGAATCGATTGGAAGTCCCATCGGTATCGAGGTGACAAATTATTTCTCAATTCCCGGTATCCATTAGTACCCCCTATATCCTCACTTCCATTTCGTTGCCTATCCTCCAACATAGGCCTCTATTCAGCAGATCCTGCGCACTCATAAAGCTACGCAAAAAAAAAAAAAAAAATATTCGGTCGCTAACCCACTGTGGCATCCATGCTCGATGATCTTTTATGATACTTGGCCTTCAAGATGCGAGCAATGAGGGTTTTGGGTCTTTGAATGAAGTTTTGCATCTATTTCGTGCGGAGGGACTCGTTGAAACCCCTGAGATCCCGCAACCCCATCCCTCCCTCCTCCTTCGAGCTCATCAACTCTTCTCATCTCAGTCCATGCATTCTCTTTTCAGCTGCACGTTGTCCCCACCAAAAATTCATAATCATACTATGAACTTCGTCAATCGTTCCTTCCGACACTCTAAATACAGACACCGCATACGTGAACTGACCTTGTGCCAGTGACTTTATCAAAACTTCATGGGTTTCCACTATGAGAGTCTTGTCTTCCACCCGTTAACTTAGATCGAGTTCCATCTTTTATTCCAGCAAATAGAAGCTTCTTCGATCTTCCCTCTTCCGTGGCAAATCCCAAATACTTGTTTTTTCGGACCAGCTTCATACCAAGAACTCCTCCTATCTCCAACTGTCTATGGGTAACGACGTTAGAACTGAAGGACAGCTCAAACTTTTCGAAACTGACCATTTGACCCGATTCTTTTTCATAGTCGTTAAGTATCTGTTTCAGCTCCTTGCTTTCCTCCACCATCTACCTGGTAAAAAAGATATAATCGTCATCATAAAATAGTGGGAAACCACCGGGGCTCCACGAGCTGGTAGTTTCCCATGGATTCTCTTCTCCTTCGGTGCCTTTGCGGTATACCCTGACAGTCCTTCTGCAAAGAGGAGGAAGAAATACGGGACAATGGATTCCCCTAGCGAAGCCCCCGACTCGGCTGGAACCGAGGTGATTGATGACAATTAACCAGCACCGGGAAAGTTATTGAGCTAACACAAAGCATTATCACCTTCACCCAACGTTCTGCAAACCCCATACACCGCATCACCCCTACCAAGAACTGCTACTCCACACGATCGTATGCTTTGGCCATATCCGTTTTTGCAGCCAGGAAACCCATACCCATCCTCCCTTTGTTCTTCATCGTGTGGAAGCATTCGAAATCTTCCATCATATTATTCATGATTAAACGTCCAGGAACAAACACACTCTATTCCGGGGATATGACCTTATTCGGAACCTGTTTCAATCTATTTTCAAAACCTTTCGCCACCAATTTATATAAAACATTACATAAGCTAAATGGGTCAGTAGTCTTTGGGAGTAGTCGACATCTTAACTTTAGGGATGACTAAATTGCAAATTTGGTCACTAGAATTACTAGTAAAGTTCACGTTTACCACTAAGATTAATTTAATTCATCTTAGTCACTTAAATTAGTTATACAGTTCAAGTTTGGTAACTCTCCGTTACTCTCCGTTAACTCTATCTTACATGGCAGTCAACTCTATGAGTTGACCGTTAAATAAGTGGTGTAGCCATTAAAAATTAATAAAAATAAATCTAATCTATTGTAATTTCCGCCTCACAATCATTACAAATTAAAAAAACAAAAAACATATATAATTAGCATTTTAATCCTTCCCTTCTTTGCCACCAATCGTTCAATCGACCCAGTCTCTCTCGGCAGCCCTCCAATCGCCGAAACTCAAGTTCTGGATTATGTTGCGGAACTCCCCGAGTTGAATTAAAATCTCCCGCTGGACCAATCGTAGTCCTCCCCGACTTATTTCACCACTTCGTAAAACCAAATCGTTCTTCTTCAATTGAAGGGATCTAGGAGCCTCGCATATCAATTGGAAAATCGCTTGCTCCTTCCCCCGCCGTTGGAGAGGAATCGGCCGAGAGCTCTCGAGATTTAAGAATAGGTTCTTCTCGATGACGGCAGCGTACCACCGGACTCAGGACGAGGGTTTCTGTGTCTTCGGGTCGGATTCTTCGCGTAATTTTGAGAGGTTGAGGGAGTTCCTGCCACCTGAAGCAGGGTAGATGGAGATATCTCTTCCTTTCCTACTAGGGTCTAGGTACTGCAAGGAAACTGTCAAGGTGATAGAGCAGCGGAGGCAAATGACTGCAAATGGGTTAAAGAGCGACGCCGACATCTAGGAAATCCCCCAAGATTATTCAATCCCAACCCGAAATCATCTTCGTCATCCCCGAACCTCCCGCCATCGAGCTTGTGCCACTACAACACCGACGATACCTGCTGCTTCAGCCAGAGATCTGAAAGAAATCAGCATCTTCATCGATCTGAACAACATTTGCATTTGGGTGCTGCGAAGGAGTGGCCTTTCCTAGCGGCGGCGTAAGGTGGACCTGAGCGAAGGAGACGGAACACCATAAAAGAAACACGTGTATCAGCAATCTCATAGAAGACTAGGTGGCTCAGCGATCTCAGGGAAGAGATGGGATAGATTAGACTTGTTCGTTTGAAGCTTTGGTTGCCAATAGGAAGGGATCATCAAAAGATCAGAGTGTTTTGTTTGTTTGTTTGTTTGTTGTTGTTTGGGTTTGTTCAATTTAATTATAATTTTTTTGTTTATTTATTTTTTAATTAATTGTGATAATGAGGTGGAAATTATAAAAAATAATTTTTATTTTTGTTTATTATTTTTAATGGTCACATTATTTATTTAACGGTCTACTCTTAGAGTTGACTGGCACGTCAGATAAAGTTAACAGAGAATAACGGAGAGTGACCACACTTGAACTCTATAATTAATTTAAGTGACTACGGATGGAATAAATAAAAAAAACTATGAGAGGTGCTCTCTCCTCTTCCTCTGGACAATGGCTAACGAGTCTCATCGTCACCCTACTCGCCACCAGCTTAGAAAACCAAAAGAAGAGCTGGAGCCAATCGAGGGAAGGTGACTATCCTATCGGAAAGGGATCGAGAAGGAACACAAACTGCAGAGACGATCGACAAGGAACACATACCTTGCGACCATAAATCCCGTCCTAAATCGGGACCTTTATTGGGTGCGTCCTAAAGCTTTCTTTTTACCAACTACATACCATATGGTAACTTCTTTATTTTTAAGTCGTTTTTGAAAACGTTTGCTCTGGAGGAACGAGTTCATCATGATCTATTGGATCTACAAATATTTGGGTTAAAAAAATACTAGACCAAAAATTATCATACTTTACCAATATAGTATGTGGGTGGTAACTTATGGTAAACAATAATGAAAGTCGTAAATGACAGTTAGTATACTCCTACTATCATGTATTCAACCTTCTTACCATATTGGTATGTTCATACCATCATGATACCTTTTCTTACCATATGGTATTAAATATGAGCATATCATATGGTAATGACTGGTAAAAAATTATTAAAATTTTTTGTACTAAAAATATATCAAAGTGGATATCATTTTAAAGAACACTTTTAATCTGATTTATCTGTGCAAAAAATTTAAAATTCGATTTAAAACAATAGAGAAATCGTCCGTTAAAGATTAAAGAGGAAAAGATAAAAGACTTTCCAGGAGAGAGGAGATGCTGATCTCATGCGGATGTGGACAGGTTACTAATGGTTACTCACCATAAGGGTTACTGACCTGATCCGCTCCCGAAGTTGAGTTACTCAATCAAATATATGATAGAATTGAGGAATTGGGGCTTGATTTTATATTAACGTTGAATGATATAATAGTAAAATCATTTTACGAGGTCATTATATATCACAATATAACTTATAATACTCATCGGACATCCCAAATGTACCGCTAACATTAGTATTTGGGAGTCCTAATTATATATATATATTTAGTTGTTTGGGCAAAAGGATCACCTTGCTGGAGCTGGCTCCGCCGATCGAGTGTGTGTATGTTCAATGTTGTTTTCCCCAAGAAGAAATTATGAAGTCCGCAAACTCCACTAACCATAATCGGGACCTTAACTTCACACCGGAAAAGAAGATGGCACTGGCAGGCAACGACCGACTCCTTTTTACGGGAAAGAATCCTCTGTTGGGTTCCCTTTTCTTAACCAATTCATCGTACATAGAATGGCAGATCTCCACAAAACTCAAAACATAATAAAATAACACCCTTGTGTAATTCTGTCAACAACCATAATCAGGAGTGCATAAATACGATCCCAAATCACCACTTTTCTAATCACACAATCAAAGCAGTCAGAAAAACACACAATCAAAGGTGGTAAGGATAGAAGAAAAAAGAAAATGAAGATCAACATGAACGTGGCTCTCCCACTGCTGATCATAGCGGCATTAATATTATTGGCGACGAACCCTGCTGCCTTCGTCGCTAATGCTCAGGACTGCGGCCCCGGCAAGAAGTGCAAGGACGGCAGCTGCTGCAGTGAGTACGGGTGGTGCGGCAACACCGACCAGCACTGCGGCAAAGGCTGCCTGAGCAACTGCGACGGCGGAGGCAAGAAGTCGCCGCCTCCTCCTCCTGATAATAGTTACTCTTTTCCTGCCATCCGACGGGGCGGTGGCGTGGTGGTCAAGGGCGGCGACGACGGCTCCTACAACGACCCTCACTGCGGCTCGCAGGCCGGCGGCGGGACGTGCGACCCTGGGTATTGCTGCAGTCAGTTTGGCTTCTGCGGGAAAACTGTTGAATATTGTGGCGATGGTTGTCAAAATGGTTGCGGCGGCGGCAATGCTCCGCCATCACCATGAAGAGAGTGAGACTCTATATACAAGAAGATGATGATTACAGGAAGAGTAAAAGGAAACGGTATTAAGATACCTATTTTTTTTTTTGGTGTGATTAAGATACCTAATTAAATCCGGTTTCTAAATTGTGCATGTACTAAGTAGGATTTTGCGTGCTCTTAGTACTATAAAGCACTAATGAATAAAAGTTGTACGTCCATCATCTACATGAAATAAAATGGTTTTTTTTATATGTTCAATATATAAAAGCTGGCAGTGGGGTCATTAAGATTAAAGTTTATTGGGGTCTTATTTTTTGAATATTATCATAGATATATGTGAAAAGACATCCAAAAATACAAAGATTGCAATTGACAAACGCAGTAGTCGGTTTAATGTCGAACTATCGACGAAAAGACTTGTTTTGTCACTAATTAGTAAGTACTATTCAAACGTATAGAAGCAAAATGAAACTCCTAGAACAATCTGACTTCTTCAAGAAATGGAGTACTCATTTCATGATTTACCTCGCCGGTCACCGCTTTTCGTATTACGAGTTGACAGGAGACATAGACACAAATTAACACATCACCTGGTCATCCCATTAATGAATGAATTCCTGTATTCAGTTCTAAGAATACATCTCTCATATATATAAGATCAAATAGTTATCTTATCAAATTATTAGTTATTAAGCTACAGAACTCATGTAAATCATAGTTTGAAAGTGACATTTCGATAGCTCACTAAAATACTCATTAGTTTTAAAAGCAAATCGACCAACACATACCATCGAATTATAAAAATGGATTTCATGATGACCAAAATTTTTAATATTAATAGAACAAAACTGAAGGTTTAAAAGGTCTTTCTAGCTAGTTACAACAGGAAGATTTTTTCTGTCTATCTAGTACAATGACAAATTTTTAAACTTGAAGGTAAGAAAATTGACGATTTTAAAATTTACCTTATCGATAGTGCTATCCATATGCGTGTATATAATGTTGATTATAGTGAATTTCATATGAACATGATCCTAAATTCTTAGCATATTCAACAAGTACCTGTACATATTTAATCATTTAGTTTTTTCAACTAAGGTCCTAGGACCCCACTCCTCTCCACCCCTCAACCTCTCAAAATTACGCGACGAATCCGACCCGAAGACACATAAACTCTCGTCCTGAGTCCGGTGGTACGGTGCCGTCATCGAGCAGAACCTATTCTCAAATCTCGAGAGCTCTCGGCCGATTCATCTCCTACGGCGGGGGAAGGAGCAAGCGATTTCCCAATTGATATGCGAGGCTCCTAGATCCCTTCAATTGCAGAAGAACGATTTGGTTTTACGAAGTGGTGAAATAAGTCGGGGAGGACTACGATAGGTCCAGCGGGATATTTTAATTCAACTCGGGGAGTTCCGCAACATAATCCAAAACTTGAGTTTCGGCGATTGGAGGGCTGCCGAGAGAGACTGGGTAGATTGAACGATTGGTGGCAAAGAGGGAAGGATTAAATTGCTAATTATATATGTTTTTTGTTTTATTTATTTTAATTTGTAATGATAGTGAGGCCGAAATTATAATAGATTAGATTTATTTTTATTAATTTTTAATGGCTACGCCACTTGTTTAATGATCAACGCATAGAGTTGACTGCCATATCAGATAGAGTTAACGGAGAGTAACGGAGAGTTACCAAACTTGAACTGTATAACTAATTTAAGTGACTAAGATGAATTAAATTACTCTTAGTGGCAAACGTGAACTTTACAAATTTGCAATTTATTCATCCCTAAAGTTAAGACGTCGACTACTCCCAAAGACTACTGACCCATTTAGCTTATGTAATGTTTTATATAAATTGGTGGCGAAAGTTTTTGCAAACAGATTGAAACAGGTTCTGAATAAGGTCATATCCCCGGAATAGAGTGCTTTGTTCCTGGACGTTTAATCGTGAATAATATGATGGAAGATTTTGAATGCTTCCACACGATGAAGAACAAAGGAAAGAAGGGTATGGGTTTCCTGGCTACAAAAACGGATATGGCCAAAGCATACGATCGTGTGGAGTGGCACTTCTTGGTAGGGGTGATGCGGTGTATGGGGTTTGCAGAACGTTGGGTGAAGGTGATAATGCTTTGTGTTAGCTCAATAACTTTCCCGGTGCTGGTTAATGGTCATCAATCACCTCGGTTTCAGCCGAGTCGGGGGCTTTGCAAGGGGAATCCATTGTCCCGTATTCCTTCCTCCTCTTTGCAGAAGGACTGTCACGGTATACCGCAAAGGCACTGAAGGAGAAGAGAATCCATGGGATACAACCAGCTCGTGGAGCCCCGGTGGTTTCCCACTATTTTATGATGACGATTATATCTTTTTTACCAGGTCGACGGTGGAGGAAAGCAAGGAGCTGAAACGGATACTTAACGACTATGCAAAAGAATCGGGTCAAATGGTCAGTTTCGAAAAGTTTGAGGTGTCCTTCAGTTCTAACGTCGTTACCCATAGACAGTTGGAGATAGGAGGAGTTCTTGGTATGAAGCTGGCCCGAAAAAACAAGTATTTGGGATTTCCCACGGAAGAGGAAGATCGAAGAAGCTTCTATTTGCTGGAATAAAAGATCGAAGAAAAGACTCTCATAGTGGAAACCCATGAAGTTTTGATAAAGTCAGTGGCACAAGGTCAGTTCACGTATGCGGTGTCTGTATTTAGAGTGTCGGAAGGAACGATTGACGAATTTCATAGTATGATTATGAATTTTTTGTGGGGACAACGTGCAGTTGAAAGGAGAATGCATGGACTGAGATGAGAAGAGTTGATGAGCTCGAAGGAGGAGGGAGGGATGGGGTTGCGGGATCTCAGGGGTTCCAACGAGTCCCTCCTCACGAAATAGCTGCAAGACTTCATTCAAAAACCAAAAACCCTCATTGCTCGCATCTTGAAGGCCAAGTCTCATAAAAGATCATCGATCATGGATGCCACAGTGGGTTAGCGACCGTTTTTTTTTTGCGTAGCTTTATGAGTGCGCAGGATCTACTAAATAGAGGCCTATGTTGGAGGATAGGCAACGGAATGGAAGTGAGAATATGGGGGGCACTAATGGATACCGGGAACTGAGAAATAGTTTGTCACCTCGATACCGATGGGACTTCCAATCGATTCTTACGTCTGCGAGTTGGTAGACCAGGACACGGGGAACATGGGATGATGTGGTCATCGGGATTTTTTTTCCCCACGACGTTGCATAAGCAATTAAACAGATCCCACTATGTGGAAATGGGGAGGTGGATACCTTGATATGGCACATAAGCAAAAATGGGGAATATACAGTAAAAGAGGGTTATAAATTATGGCTTAGGGAATTCATGACACAACATGGAGTGGTGGGGCTAGGAAAGCCGGCAATATGGAAGAAGCTATGGAGCCTGGAAGTGCTGCCGAAGGTGCGGCAGTTTATGAGGTGGTTCACTCGTGAGATCCTTCTGACAGTTATTAAGGTGGATCCCCAGAATTCTCGCAGGGGAAATCGTTGCCCGTTCTGCGAACAAAGAGATACACAAACACATGCTTTTGTTGAGTGTGAGTGGGCAACACGCATCTGGCGAATATGGAGGTAGCTGAATTGGAGCAAAGGAAGGTTGAGGAAGTGGAGGCGTGGTGTGTACTGCTTTGATTTCTATGGAAGGAAAAGAACGCTCATCTATTCAATGGAGCAAAACTACCCGAGGAAGAGATACCAACCCGCGCCAAATGTCTGCTAGAAGAGTACAAGAAAAACCAACAACTCTAAAAGGAAGCATATCATGTGTCGGTTTGTAAAATTTGGAACTAGCGTCCTCCAATATCTACGTCGGTCTGTACAGATGCTAGGGTCTATGGTGAGGAAGGAGAAGGGTTAGGAGTGGTTATTAGGGACTCCGAAGGGATGTTTTTAATGGCAGCAGTGAAGAAGATTCAAGGAAAGTGGGAAGCAGAAGCCGCGAAAGCAATGGTGGCGGAGTTTGGAGCCCAGCTTGCGTTCCAATTCGAACCGCTAGAATGACGTTGTTATGCTTAATTAAATGTGATTTTTTATTAATACCATCCTAGGAGTCGTAGGAGACAGCCTCGACTTTCGAAGGAAGGATCAAAATTCTCGTGTGTGAACCATGGTTTGTGTAAACGTACTGGAAGTCATACCAGACTAGTCCGTGATAATGTATTTTTTCCTACGACCATGGTTCAGCCGTTTTGTATTGGTAAGAAACCGTTTTTACGAATTTTCTTTCATTTTCTTTTAATAGAATAACACAATATGCTCAATTAAATGTGGATTTTTATTTTGATTATCAATGAATTGACAGTTGGATCAAAACTTACTAGTATTTTGAATGAAGCTGGTTCGACCATGAATACATGTCTCGAAATAGCTGCAATTATATGTGTCAAAATGAACCCGTCGGGTTGAAGCGGGTTGCACCTTTTGGTCTTTTCCCATTGCTCTGATAACAATAATTCTACGGTTCCAAATTTCTAAGTTTCTGTGTTTCATACCTTGTTTTTTGAGAAGTCTCAATCGTTTCTTTTTAAAAAGCTTACTAAAGAATCTAATCATTCCTTTCTTTTCCTTGTTTTCTGCAACAAGTCTTATTCTTTCTTTTTCTTTCATGGAATGGCCCAAATAAAGGTGGTTAATTTTCATTTTGTTGTTTTTGGTCTATCTATTTTCTATTTTCTGCTTTATTTTGTTTAGACTAGTTATTATATCGGTAATTAATTCAGTTTTAGATACGGCTTCCTCTAATGTTTCTGAATTTCCGATAGACATTTGTTCTTCTACAATATCTGATACGAAGTGAGATAATTCTAACGTAACCGTATTAATGTCGTCTACTGATGTAAGGTCTATTGCATCTATTCCTTCTATCAATTTATTTATGTAATAAGTGTTAGGCATCTTTACAATTTTTCACTCATTTCTACGATTAGTTCTTGTAACTTTTTTATTTCACTAGTATTATCATTTTGATGAAGTATAGTTATGTTTTTTATTTCCTTGTCCTCTTCTTTCTCCATTTCCTTCTGCTTATTGGTTAATCTCATGGAAGAACTTCTCTCATCTATACTTATTCTTGGATGATCATAATTTGATTTTATTATTTTTAGAGGGGATTCTAATTGAATTAATGGTTTGAATAAATCTTCTATGGTGATGGCTTCCTTATCTTTAAACGCTAGACTATGATGACTATTGGTCAGTGCATAGTTTATTTGGTATGTTACCGAAAAAGGTTTACTGTTTTCTTTCATGAAATTTTTTCTTTTCAATTCGTAC